TTATGCTAAAGAGCAGATTTTATTATTTGCCCAAAACACTAAAATAGCCCATGGCATAGTAATTTAGCACACAGTATAAATGACAGTCAGGTTCCCCTCCCCCCAGGGCTGTTTTTAACTCTCTCTTGGGTAGGGAGCTTAAAAATGTCCACTCTTTAAATGACCTTTATTAAAGTTATCAACAAACCACAAAGGGAGAAATACTTTAGAAAAAAATCTTAATGTAAAAGAGATCACGAATCCTAGCATCTGGGAAAAGGGAAATACTTCATTTGCAATCTGTGTTCTGTCAGCAGAAGAGTCCCAAACTCTTCTGTGATTGAAGGTAATCCTAAGTTTAATATTGCAACTTCTCCAAAGTGCCGCCATTGACACCTGCACTTCAAGCGGAAGGAAAGGGGCACGCGAGAACAGACGTGTGACTGCAGGTCAGGGAGTCCACACAGTGCAGGAAGGGCAAGACTCGGACCAGAGCAAGGCTTACAAGAAGTGGGAGCAGCCTGCAGATAATCTCCACTTCCATCAGATGGCCAGAGGTGAGCTGAGACAGGCGGCATCTGGGATGCTAGCCCTTTAGAATGGGTCTCCGAGAGAAAGAACTCTGCGCTAAATGGTTTTTGTCTGATCTATACTGGATAGATCAATCATCTCTTAGAAGGGTTTCCCAAGTTCTGAGTCTTTCCAAAACGATTGAAAACATGCTCAAAAATGTCTCTCTGCATCAATCAGTGAGGTGTATCTGGTCACAGGAATCAGAGCAAGAACTGAATGGCTGCAGCATACACCAGAATTAATGCAAAAGAAACTGCAAGACGACCTTTAAAATTAATCTATTTTTATTGTTCTGCCTGTACCTTATCTATGGCATCAGACTTGCTAATCTGGAGGATTGCAGAGCCAGTGACCCTCACGACTATCTGCAGACCATCTGAAGTACTTTTTAAGCTTGAGAGAGTTTTCTCGTATTCTACTGTTTGCTCTGAAAACATAGGGTTTAAATGGTCGAGGGATACACATCTTGTCTCATCTTCTGGGAGAACTTCATAATGGACAGAAGCATATGGCAGCTGGCACAGCTCAGAATATGGGTAAGACAGTTCCGACCTGGTGCCCAGCCCCTCAGGAACAGCACTTAGAAGTTCACACTTCAAGAAACCCATTTCCCTCAGTTTCGGATGACCTGGCCATCCTGACACCCAGGACTCTCCTTTGGGGTACTGTCCACAGCTGTCTGTGGCCCTGGGCCCTTTTCCTGGCCAGTTACTTCCTAGTGCATCTCCGATGCCACAGGATACCCCAGCCAGATGTTCTTCCGAAGCAGATGACAGAATCTTGCTTACGGAGGCTGCTGGAGCCAAATTTCTTCCCATTGATTCCTTCAGATACTGAAGCACTTTGTACCCACTGTGAAGTATGAGGTCAGCCTCAATCTGATCATGTTTCATTTCCAAGGATGCCACCACTGTGTCCTGTGACTTTCCATCAGTATCTGCTGCAGGCTGATCTGTCCAGGAAGGCACATCTGCTGGGCTGGGGCTCCCCTTCTGGCTTCTCTCCTCAAGGCCACATGATAGTTTGTCCAAGTCACCTCCTTGTGACCTCTTTACATCTGCCAAGCAAGTACCCGGGGTCCCTCTTCCAGCCCTCATGCTTTGCGCCCTCTGATGCAGTGAGCCGGGGTGATGCCTATCAGTCAGGGGTGGCCTTCAGTGGATCTCAATATGAACCTAGAAAAGATAATCAAATGAAAATTCTGTGACAGAGGGTTATTAAAACATTTAAGCACACAAAATATCACCAAACACTAGTTCCTTGAGGAATGAGGCCCCAGAGCTGAACAGGAGCCAGAGAGTGAGAGGCACTGGCCACTGTCACAGGCCAGCCTGAGCTTTGTAGTGAATTCCAGACTAGCGTATGCTTACAGCATAGAGCTGGAGACAGGAAGATCACAAGTTCAAGGCCATCCTTGGCTACAGAGTGAGTCTGAAGTCAGCCTGGGCTATATGAGAGCTTGACTCAAACAGATAAATACGCAAATAAAGTATACATAAAGGCAAATAATCAGTCTCCATGGCCCCAGGTCTTATAAGCCCCAGCCCCCATGTTAAGTCTACAAAAGAATCAATACTGTTAAACTATGGCAAACAAACCTGCCCACCAAAACTCTGAGTGAGAGAGGAGTTTATTTCCAAGTTCAAGGGAAAAATAAAATGCAGTCCTGGGAGCCATTCCTCAACATCCACTCCTTTCACCCTGCTGAAGGTGCTAAGGGCTCCAAAGGCAACAGAAGGGTAGGAGCAAAGGCTCCCAGGCATGACCAAGATCCTCAGGGCAATCAGAAGGCATCTTCCACACAAACCCTCCCCCTGTATGAGGCAGCCAACCTGCTAAATGACAATAGGCCTGACCCAGTTAGGCAGCTGCTACCCTGCTGGATGCCTGTCTCCTCACCTTCCCTAACCCAGGCTATTAATGGCCTTGGGCACCTGACCGTCCAGACTACCACTGCTCTGTAACCTAAAAATATCCTGCCCCCAATACTTTCCAAAGCAAGCTAGCAAGGCCAGTCCTAAGGGGGACAGGAAGGAGTCACAGTGAGTAGGGCAATGGGCTTGAATGGCAGGATCCTGTGGGCTGATGGCTCGAACACACACTCTAAGACGACCAAGCCCAAAGTGTGGAGTGCTGTGAAGTGGATCCTGGTACCGATAGGCCCTGAATGGGGGATCAGGCTGGAGGTCACAAATTTCTACACACTACCAAGGATGAGGAAAGGCGCTCACACCACCCTTCTGAATGAAGCTGACTCATGACCACTGGGAGGACACATCATTGAATTTCTTCTATTGACCTGGCAAGCATCTCTGCATCACGCCTGATCTCACAAAGCCAGCTGTGCCCTAAGGTCACACCTTGTCTCCGGTCACACATCTGCTCAAAAGTACATTCAATAAGGAGAAGCTACACCCAGTTCTGAGGAGCTGGGTGACTTGGTATCCTCAGGAAAGGTAACAATTTCTCAGGCGGTGCTGTAGGCTGAGCTGGGAAAGCACTGAGCATTCTCTTCAGGCAGCATCCCACAGTGACAGTGACGGCAGCTTTTCTGTCAGTATTGGCAAGTGTCTCAGGGAATGAATGAAGGGGCTGCTGGAGGGCTGGTAAAGCAAAGGGCAGAAAAGGGACCTCAACAGACAAGTGCATCTCAGGGGGCAGCAGAGGTCAAAGCCCAGACTGGGGCTGCTGAGCAGTGAATAGTGAACAGTCTACCAAAGGCAAGCAGCTAACTTTGGAAGTCTCCCCTTTACCTGGGATTCAGCTCCTAGGATTTCTTTGCTACAGATTCAATCAGCTGTTCCCCAAGCCCTTCCCCGAGTCAGGTGCTGTTGTAGGTCCTAATGCCAGGACAGCAGAACAAGAAGACAAAACAGATCCAGGTTTCCTTTCTAGTGAATCATTAACCCACATGCATAAACCTCACTGTTATACTGCTCAAAGGTCAATCTATAGCCACGCCTCATAACGTGTACCAGGACAAACTGTTTAAGTGAGGGACTGGAGAGGGCCCGGCGGTTAAGAATGCTTGCTGCTCTTCCAGAGAACCTGAGTTCAATTCCCAGCACTCAAAAAAGGCAACTTACAACTGCCTAGGGATCCAGTAGCCTCTTCTGGCCTCCATGGGCACACATCCCACACATAAAAATTTCAAATTAAAATGCAGTTCCAGTTCCATATCCAAATGTGGGGGGGGGGGGGCACTTTTATCCCCAGCTCTAGGGAGGTGGAGA